ACAACGGAGAGCCGTATCGAACTATTCGTGATCGAACCCTTACTTGTTGCAGACTAATCAAGATATTAATTATCGTCTGCTATTCTGCCACAGCTAGGAGCCTGAAGGTGACTATGCTGATGTTGGCAAACCAGTGCATGGATATAGAATGAGCCATGTTGAATCACGCGTGCATTGTTATCATTACGATCGCGCTTAATTTGTGATCTTGTCTTGTAACTCAATAAGTGTCAAAGGATTATTACAAAGGTGCCGCGACGTTGTAAGCAGCTTCATGGAATACAGTATAACTGATCAAAGGTTTCATTTATCGATTATTCCACGAGAATATCCGACCTACCCTGCGCGCCCATTCATCCACCATGAGCCCAGTAACGGAGGCGAAGCCCGGTGAGGCGTTACTGCTCAATATCCTTGCGCATAACACTCTTAAGCGCTTCGGTCTCAGCCTCTTGACGAACGAGGCGGATTCGTAAATCGTCCCTTTCCCGAGTCATCTCCTTCAGTAATAATTCCAGTTCCTCGATGCGATCAACCTTCTTTTGTCTGTACTTGCGAGCAGCAATGGTGTTTCGCTGACGGCGCAGGATCTTGTCGGTATGGGGAGTGGCCACCTCTAGGTCCTGAGCTTTGTCATTCGGAGAGGACCGGTGAGATAACTCAGCCCCCGAAGCAGCAGTATACACTGACATATCCAGGGGCGGAGGCTGGTTCGGGCTGTTGGAATTGGAATTGGAACTAGAGCTGGACTCAAAGAGTGCATCCAGCTGAGCCGGGAGGAAGGCGTCGGAGAAGGTGTCGAAAAAGGCGGGTGGTGAGGTATCGAGGAAGGCAAGTGGGAAAGCTGAGATATGTAGTCAGTACACTGGATGTTGAGTCATCGGGTGTAGAGATGGGAGAATATTGTTAGTCTTCTTACACTGATCAATCGGGTTGCCGAGGGGACTGGCACTGATGGGAGGCGTCGCATAGGTAGCAGACGTCCATGGCAGAGTGTCCCAAGGGGGCGGTTCAGAGCACGGAAGGCTAGGATCTATTTGGACAGAGTCTGGGCCAAAAAGCCCAAAGTCTGTACCCGGGAGGCCAGCGGCCGACAACTGAAGTGACTGTTGTTGGTGTTGATGCTGAAGATCATGTGTCAAACCGACCTCGCCAGGAAGACTTGAGTTATCCTGGGCCCATTGCGGCAATAGGTTGGGCTGGCTGGAACCAGACGGTCTCCCGCTGGATCGCGGCCGCGGCGGCTGATGATGATGCGGCGCACATTGTTGCAGAGTGTAAAGGCCCTGTCACCTAGGGCCAGAGGATGACAATGTTGAATAGAGATAGGGAGATTCTCGTCTTGCGAGAATGAAGATGTCGTGGAGAGGAAACAATGCGCTCGATTAACGGTGGGAGACTGAGATTTATAAATTCGGCAAAGATCCTGATCAACCTCTGCAGGCGGAATGGGAATGGGTAAGACGCCCGATCTCTGGCGGGTTTACGACGGCTGCAGACGTGGGTTGCCCGCACTGATAACACTAACCTTAACAACGGCAATAGAGGTACGGGTGACCTGGCGTAAGCCCGGTTGAGGTGTGGCTCAGCACGCCTGCAGCAGACAAGATTGTTGCGGGCTAACCGATGTGCTGATCAATAGGCTAGGGACATTGCGAATGGTCTTGCAGCTATCCAGTTTACATAACAAAAGTGGTTCTGCACAACTCAACATATGCACCAAGACAGTCTGATCGCACAATCCGGGAACAACTTTCTGCCCCGTGATCATTGTTCAAATGAGCCTTAGTGTGACCTCTGATCAAGGAGGGCTGACGAGTTCATTCTGTATGACAAACGTTGCTGCAGCCCAGCCTCAGTAGACTGAAGACGTCACGTCACGCCTTATCCTTTCGAAAACACTCCGACACCTCGTTCATAACATGATCGAGCGAGACAGATAGCCTACCACAGTGCAGGTAGATCGCGACTGGACCCCCAGTGCTCTGTTTCCCAACTACAGACGAAAGCTGGTAAAGCTGCAGGACGGCCAAAACGGGACTCTTCTGACTGCTCTTTTCCGGACCCCTTGCCAAGTCCCCCCTCATCGGCGTCGTGCAGCTGCATGGGTCGAGCCCGACCCCGAACCTACGGTGAACGGAGCCCATCCGACGGCCGAAAGCCTCTGGCTCTCCGTCTCTCATTTGAGTTGCCCTCACACAATCATACACCACAATCGGAGAATGGATCCCACTCTCCTTGCAGATACGGCGTCGGCGTCAAACTCCTTGTCGCCGCCGGGGGCTCCTCCCAGTCAAGCAGGATCTCTGGAGAGCGAAAATGGCAGATCCTCCATGGCCCACCGTCCTCGCCATACGCGTACCAGCACACCTAAAGTGAGGACAGGTTGTGTCACCTGTGAGTCTTCGCCCAGCTATGAGGGAACTGAATAGGTAACTGGACACCGCTTACTCCATGCAGGCAAGTAAGTCAAGTCAGACTTCAAAATTCAACCGCGAGTCTTGTGTACTGATTAATCCTCTAGAAAACGGCACATTAAGTGTGACGAGGGCAAGCCTCATTGCATGAACTGCCTCAAGACCCGTGGTGTCTGTGATGGCTATGCCATCAAGCCGAGGAAGACGAGAGGGAAGGCTCCGAAGGACCTGGAACCCTTGAACCCCGTATCATCATGTCGCCGGGCCAGTCCCCGCCTGCGCATCCGGGAACCCAATGTGAACACCCTCGATTTTGCCGATGATATGCAAAGCGTCTACTTCAACGACTGGAACGAATTAGTTCGCGTCTCACTCGGCGGCGCTCACTTCTCTAGGACCAACCTCTGGACAACCACGATGCCTCAGCTCACCCGCCGAAACTCAGCTCTGCGACAAGCGGCTATGAGCATCGGGGCTATCAGCAGGGCACTGTCTTCGCAGGGCTCACCTTATGTCGTGGCGAGAAATTTTGGTAACATCGCCAACCTCCTGCAGAGCCCGCACTATCAGAATGCCATTGTCTACTACTGCCAGGCACTTCGTCTACAAGGGCAGGCCGACTTCCAGACTGCCAGCATCCAAGAGGCGGTGCTTTTGTCCATACTCTTCGTCGCATTTGAGGCCTTGCGGGGGAACCGAAACTCGGCTCTTCAGCATGTCAAGTTTGGCTTCGTGTTGTTGCAGGAGTTGCTCACCAGCGAGGACTCGGATCATCGCATCTGGAACCTCGCGCCCGACCCTAGACAACTCATTACCGAAATTCTGGATCTATATAACCATCTCGACGTACAAAGTCGCACCGTGCTCAGTGGCCATGTGAAGTCAAGCCGGTCACCGGCCTACGAACTCATCAAAGGCCTCAAAGCCAGAGGCCATACTATTGAGACGTACAACATGCAGATACAACGCTATACTGACCCAGGGGAAGGAAGAAAAGCAATGCCGGAGGTGTTCAGCAACGCTGAAGACGCATACTTTTGGTGGCAAACCTGCCAGCGACGAATCGCCAAGCTTGGTCCTCTCTTGCTGACTGTCATCGACGATCTCAAAGTTGAGGAGATCAATGATGAAGCCGGCATCGACCAACTACTCGAGATGATGCAAAACCAGCCTGAACTGCTAGCGTACTGCGAAAAATCGGTCGCAAATCTTCAGCAGTGGCGACACGCTTTCGAGCCGCTCTACAACAAGACATTGTCCGACAAGAACATCTCACGTAAAGAGTATCTCAAGATCTTGCATCTTCGTATGCACTACCTCGTCATGTTTCTATACAGCTTCTTTCCCAAATACGCCGACGAAGCTACCATCGCGTCCATGACACCGTACTGTCGAGAGATTAACGACGTCATCGAGATCCTGCTTCGTGAGCAGCAGAAAGACTTCAAGACTCCCGCACACGTCTTCTCAATGGAGTTCGGCCTGGCCTGGCAGCTCACCGTTGTCGCTATGACGTGCCGTGATCCCTTGGTTAGGGATAACGCGACGCGCATCCTCGAAATGTACCCGCGGAAAGAAGGGCTCTGGGACAGCAAGGCTTTTTTGGCCGTGCTGAAAAAGAACCGCGAGCTAGAGGCAGAGAATGCTAGAGAGGGAACACTGGCGGAACAATGGAGGCGGCTGTGTAGAAGGGAATTCATCTTTGAAGATGCTGGAGAGACCATTATCTTTCGCTCCTTAAAGAAAAAGGAAGAAACCGGCGAGTGGGACCTAGTTGAAGAGACCGCCGAGTTCAAGGGAGAAGTTGATACTTTAGAGTGGAAGGTAAGGCCGGTAAGCGGCCAGGGTCTTATTATGACCGGCATCAGTTAATTTGATTGTGTAAATATAAGATAAGCCAGTATCCTATCAGCTATAACATAGTGGCAGTATATGAACATTAGACACTGCGTAGTGTTAAGTATTCATAGCTCTTTAGTATTTATCTTCGTGAACAACATTCGGAATGTTTCTCAGCTTATTGTTTCTTCGAGTTACGTTACTAAGTTTAAGAATGTTCACCTTAGCCTCTATGAATCCGATCTACTAGACCAAATAATGCTATAACTTCAAACTATAATATTCATTCGATAGCGTAAATATATCCTTTTCATTAGTAAACTCTACTAGGTAGCTAAGCGTTATATTGGAATAGAGTAGTCTGAAAGAAATAGCTTAGATAATTCGAAATCATTTGAAGTATTAGTCTTTACGGGCGTAACTAAAACTCAGTTTGTCTGTTCTTTAGTATCTGTTAGTATGTCGTTGTGGTAATAGTACTAGGTTAACGGAACCGTGAGCGTTATTCCCTTTGCCTTAGTACTAGATGAAAACGAATAGAGTTGCCCTGATAATCAACTTTCTTAATTAAAAATGCTGTATACGTCACTGATGGCGCGACTTCGATTTGATCAGCGTGTGCCGGCATGAGATGCGAAAGAGAGGATAGATTTAGTAGAAGAAACGTGGCGTTACTAGCAGCAGCTATGAAAACTATGGGCTGGAAATAAGTAGTCTGCGTAACGCGTATACGACAACTGGCATTTACGCCTTGCGGAACTGTACAAAGATAAAGGCAGCAAGCCCAGAACAGACAGCCCCAGTCGTCCACATCATCCAGCTATGCAGCAGGCTTTGCGGGACCAAAAGCCCATATGATGAACCGGTTACAAGCCTACGAGGCAACTCGAGGCTTTCTATGTGAGTTCCTTTCAAGTAGCTCTTGTACCAGGCTCTGACGAAAAGACTATCACCCTGCCAGGGGACAATAGTTCTAATCATCAATTTGGAGAAAGGTAGTTGCTGGCAGAAAAGGCTGTTCATCCACCGCCCCTGCCGCATAACTTCAGTGATAACGTTTTGACGTTTGGCCTGAACTCGTGCAAGCATAGTCTCAATCTCCTCTGCTGACAGAGCTCCTGAAGTTGAATTCAAAGTTGCAACTAGAGTGTTGATGAAAGTTGCGGCTGTCTCGATAGCTCCGTTGCCGCCTTGAGCAGTAATTGGGTGAAGCTGTGCAAGCAGTCAGCAACTCAAGTCCATTATCAATGTCAAAATGTCAAACATGTTACCTTATGGGCAGAATCGCCTATCAACAGAATTCTCCGGTAGTTCCAGCGAGAGAAAACGTGCTCTTCTAGTGCTACAAGTGTAGTAATCTGGCGTTCTTCATATACGTCTCGAAACTTGATTGTGTCCGAGATGCTATCGTCCAGGTATTGCGATGCGAGCGCCGCCTCATCTTCCTTTGAGAACCTGGGGATATCGTTCCCATAGTAGGTGCGATCCATCATCTTGATGAAAAACCAGTATACACGGTCTTTTGGGGCTGGAATTAGTAGGTAGGATCGCCCATCGTTGAAAGCGGCATGCTGCACCCCGCGCCAACCTTTGGGATGCTTTGATATTCCAAAAATGCATTTCGTGTTCGAATTGAGACCTTTAATGTTTGTGAGAAGGTGAAAAATTTACTAAATGGGCGAGGCTTCTTTTGGCTTACTCTGGGCTTCGTTAGGAGGGAACATATTGTGCTTTTCTTGAGAAGCAAGGCGCCACATCTCCTGTCTGATGAAGCTCCGGACCCCATCAGCCCCAATGAGAATGTCTCCTGCGTAGGTGCTTCCGTCGCATGTCTTGACGGTGACGCCTGAGTCATCCATCTGCACCTCGGAGACTCGCTTGCCGGTCAAAACACATTCCTTTTTACAAATCTGTTCGTATAAGACCTGCAGAAGCATCTGTCTGTCGATGAAAGTAGAAGGGTAGCCGGTCCTGCTCGAGTTTAGTAATGGAACGATGGGTAAGATATTGGACGAGTAATGGAATGTACAGGCTTTCGATCCGCTCAGAAGCACTTGCGCCTTGGGTTTCTGACAGAGTGAGTCCATCTGAGGATCTGATGGAACATCTGTAATAGACGTCGCCCGCGATCTCACGCAGGGAATCGTAACATCCCAGTTGATCGAGGATCTTGAGGCCATTGGGCTCCAGGCCGATGCTCGCACCGAGTTGAGGCGCTATGGTGGGATGGGCTTCAAGTAAAAGGTAGTCGATTCCTACCTTCTCTAACATGATAGCTAGAGAAAGGCCGGAGATACTACCACCAATAATGAGTATTTGGAACTTCTTTTCGGATGCCATGATGAGATGCAGTCGTAATTGAAATGAAGGAATGTTATAAGTTGCTGAGTTGAGAGCTTGTATTGACCGACATCACTAGACATCTCCTTCATCTTTATATTAACATCCTATCTCAAATACAGCAAGATGCAGATAGGTATCATAATGCAGTAAATATCCGTGGCCCTGTTCATCTGCAGGCCAAGAATACGCTGAGACATATCCTATGAACCTTGCGTACTGCTCTCCCAAGTTAATGCTTTTAATCCGTGGCTGCGTATAATACGACCCTATTAATGTGGTTCTTGACAATCTACTTGTCTCGTTGTCGCGGGCCCGAAAGTCCGCTACTGCAGCTTGGCAAATGCCGCCTCATTCTTGTCTATCACGCCAGGCGCTAAAGTGACTAAACCCTATCGTAGCAATTGTGGATAGAGGGACGACTACCTGCGATGCACAGGAACCTGATCTAGCACTTGTGGGCGATGGTCATCCGAAATGAGCGAAGCCGATATCCGTTTCGTTGCAGGGAAAAGTGGCGTAGATAGGGGCCATCGGTGCCCGAGGGGCGCGTGAACGCCCTTGTCACCAACCCCGTCCACCTTGACCTACAGAGTGAGTGGTGCTCAAAATGCGGCCGTTCAAAGCATCTGGTCTCTTAGCCAGCGCCTGACTTGGTCTGGAATAAACCATGCGTCGAGTGTTTCTTGTGACTAAGGTGGATCAAACACAACTTCAGGCTACAGGAGCCACCTACAATATCTCCTCTGACCATCGCAACTTTCATTTCGCTCGTGACAACATGCCTCTCTTCAATCTCTTTGGCAACACACCAGACCTCAAGGTCTCCAGTCATATGCTCTCAAGAAAGCCTTAGCATCTCTCTCGTGGGTGACGTCACAGATAGTCTTTCCTAATCACCAGCAACTCCTCCGGAGGCACCTTCACATTGATGATCACCCATGGCTCTACGAGTGGCGGTCCTAAAGCATTTCTACGCGTTCATCGGAAGACGTACGATTCTACGCCCCAAAAGGACGGGATCGTATGTGAGTCCGGAGCGACGAGAGCTGTCTGACGAACATGACTGTTTAACAAATCGCATCATGATGCCAGGGGACTTTTGCGGAATTCCAAATAACGCGATATACGTCTCCTAGCTCATGAAGCCGGAGATTGAGCTGAATCCGGTACTCGTGCCTGGCTCGTTTGAGGCACTTCTTCTCGAACGTGATTGCACGCGCTCTCAACCTGACCAGACCTCTGAACAAGACTGAATTTGGAATTTGAGGTGTTTATCCCCTGCGCAACTTTGCGTTGCAGTACGACCTGATTAATCACAAATTTGGGCCGGGAAGCTGTCACGATGGTCCAAACGAGTTAATACCAGATGATCAGCATCCGATTTAGGTCGAGAAATATTACGGACCGAAATAGCTTCATTTGAATGATGGAGTTTGTCAAATCATTTCCCCTCTGCTTGTATCCGTGCAGACAGGCGCCCTTTTTGCCTATAGAACCTTTATGATGGGCCAATAGCCCCGAAGCCGCGGTTGAGCTTACTATGACAAGCCTACGCAGTATCATATTACAATACAAGGTGTAGAGGTAACTATCACGGTTAACGGATTTCCTATGGCGCACTTTATTGACAGCGAAATAATTTTTATCCCTTCCGACACTAACTTCTCTTACCGTGTATAAGCAAACTCTACTACACTTCTATATGTTAGCGGAGGCAATAACGGGCTAGATGCCGTGCTCATGACAGACTCGATCGAATGATCCTTACCATTTTATCCTTGCGAAGCGCCCCAGTATAATTACCTAGCGAGAGGGGCTTCGTAGTGTTGGAGGCGAGAATACGTGAAGTTTATTTCACTTCACTGACAGTTCTAATGTTATGTATCTTTCTCAAAAGTAAATCGATGTCTATTAAGTTATTTATAACGTCAACTTCATCAAAGAACCAATGTCGCAAATAGCTTAATAAACGAACAGACCACAACCAAGCTAAGACCCCTTTTCCAGGGGCAGGCGCGGGCTAACCGACTCAATAAGACCCGGCAAACGCATATGGTAAAATCAAAAAAGATAACGAAAGGATTCGACTTTGAGGAAATATACTACAAATTCATTCAATTACTTTCGTCTGTTCAGCTAGATTTGGGTACAATACCCTTTCGATCACGTGCATCTAATAGCCACACTGTGGCTGTGCAGACGATAACGAAGCCATCACCAGCTCCTTATCATGCGCGGGCCGAGCATCCCTCCCGCCCTCCCCGCAGCACGACGTCAATGTTTCAATGTCGTTTATGATGCACGCCTCCGATAACGCAGACAGCTACTACTTGGACATTCGAGATCGAGCAACGAGTAAGGGACTAAACATGCAATCATCTCAGTCAATAATCCGCAATCGCAAAAAGATACTGAATGCGTAAGGCATAGCGCCCCAAGACCAACCCGACGACCAATGAGATGGCCAATCGCCACGAGAAGAGCCTCGGCTGACCCTGATTAATAGATGTATGAGCTGCAGGAATCGAAAGCTTCGGTGCTCTGGGCGAGATCCATGTGAACGGTGTTCCAGTCGTAAAGAAAAGTGTGTTTACGAAGAGAAGGAAAGAAGAGTGGCTGTTCCAGTCGAGTCAGTTATTTCCCGGATTCTCAAGATGTTCCACAATTGCTCATTTCAATGCAGTCATATCGCTCAATTACAGAATCGGATCAAGTCGCTTGAGTCACAGCTCCGAGCAGCGCAAGACAGGCCTGCCGATGGGTCTCCTCTGGGCAACGAGGAGCAAGCCAGAGAAGAATCACCTATGAGGCTGCCGGAAGCAGAGCCTCCGGGCTCAGTATGTAACTCGGGATCAACCATTATCGCTTGTATTGATTCAGCGTAGCCAGCAGCCACGAGAGAGTTCGCCAATACTTTAGTGACCTCTGAGCCACAGATCAAAATCCGCCGTTACGGCCATGCAGGTAGGCCCACACTTTATTTCCCTTATGAATGCATCTAAAGTAACGGTTCAAAGCCTATCTCGGCCACAGCTCGACACTCAGCTTCAGCCGCAATGTTCGAAACCTTCTTCAGTCTTCGACTCCTATCGCAGATCCGGGTAGTGTATCTATAGAGCGCGAAGATGTATCCTACACTTCTCCTCTCCCACCTCTTGCACTAGACCTCACAAAAGTCCCATTACCCCAACTTTCTTATGCAGAATACTTGACCAACACTATTGTTCTAACCTTTGGGTCACTATACTCTTTGTTCGACGCCGAAGCGTTTTTGGAGAAGCTGAGAATGTTCTACTCGGAACGTGCTACAGGAACTGTCCCGAACCCATGCCTCTGGCATATTCAGATGCTTCTAGTCCTAGGTCTCGGTAAGTCGATACTCAGCCGAGAACATTCGCAGTCGGGACCCGCAGGAATGGTGTACTTCGCCAGCGCTATCGAAGCCATGTCAGATATTCGCAGACTCTACCAGAGCCCTTTCCTATCAATGGAGATTCTCAGTCTGACAGCTCTATTCATGCACGCAACAGACATGCTTCAAGAGGCCTACGTAACGGTATGTCTGGAACAAAAGTTTCTGGTTGAAACCTATGGCTAATTTGAAGGTTAGATCGGCAACGCTTTACGTATTGGGACAACCAAGATAATGAATGTGTCAATGCCCGAAGCATTGAGACCACCAAACGTCGAGTACCAAAGGAGGCTCTGGTGGACAGTCTACTGCATAGACAGAAAAACCGCTGCCATGCTGGGAAGCACTATGGTAGTCCGAGACGATGACATCTCCATACCTTTCCCTGAAACGAAGGCCGGGGATGAGGTCCAGAACATCTTTGCTATCCACGTCACTCTCTCATCCCACCTCGGGAGGATTCTCGACGGTACGTGGGCATGTTTTCAGTACACGTGTAGTCTAGCATCTCAATATGGTCTGCCACTAACAGTAATCTTGTAGTCATATACGGAGTACACAATCAAAAGCAGCGTAACTTTGTGACACAAGTCAGAGAAATCCTTGAACGTCTGGTACAGACTCTTGTTGTCCTACGAGAACACTTGGACTTGGACCTAGACGCGCCGTCGCAGCCCCTCACCCGCGATGCTGCCACTTTACACCTGCTTCTTCATCAAGTTCGTGAGAGCACCAAACATTCGAGAGTCATGACGCTGATCAGGGGTACAGTGTGTGATTCTGACCGTTCGACCGGTTCTCTATTCCCTCTTAAAGCCGTTATTGAGTCTGGATACCTTGGAAGGGCGAATCCGGCAACCTCCGTCTATCTTTGACTCGATGCTGAAAATGTGTGTCGAGTCGGCGATCCAAATTCTCAAGATCATGGCTGCGCTGAAACAGCAGATGATGTGCGGTAAGTCCCCGTGCACCAAAAAGGATAATCCATCATCCCTAATTCTTCAAGATATCTTCCTACCCTACGACATAGACGCCCTATTTTCTGCAGCCTTTGCGCTAGTCTTGATAGATATCATCCGACCCGCGAATGAACTGCTGTGGGACTTGCCTCAGGCCATACACCTACTCGACGAATACGTGTCACGGCATGTGGCGCCTGCACAGGCTTACCGGTCAGATCTATTACAGCTTGTGGAGCTGCACACCAAGCTTCGTGGCAGCGGCGATATCGCAGACGCACACCGGCAAGATGAAGGCCAGGAAGCGGAAAGCAACGCTAGACACACTCCTAATATGGTTAGAAACGCCATCGCTAATGCAGATCCATCGGGGGCCTCCGGCAGCCCGGTATGGTCGCAAGTTCGACCTGGTAATGATGGTTCTGCGCCGACGAATCTGGAGACAATGATGTCTGTTATAGACGACCTGAATGTTCACGAGTCAGATATTATCGATGCCGCAATGCTCGAGGGCGGCTGGATGTGGGAGGATGACAACATGTGGACGGCTGCATAGTATAGTCTTTAAGATTACTAACGACTCGGAACTTCCTATTGACGATCTATTTTCCGGTAGCCTACCCACCCTCCCTATCAATCTCATCATTCATGGCATCACAGTATAAGTAAATCAGTTGCTTGGTGTTCGGGTGGCCTAATTGGTAGATGTTTTTGGTATTACTAAATGCACACCCTTGATCAGGTTTTATTTCAGATAAGTCTACCTCATGATAAGAACTTTTGCGAAGTCTTCAATTCTCTTTTCTAATTTGCTCGCGCACAGCCGGAACATACTGCGGGCATAACGTGCTCAGCGATACATCACTACACTTCTGGTGATGAGGAGAATATGAGCTTGAACTCACCGGAATGACCTGGATTTTCTCGAGGTCCCATACGCCTCTCTTAGCGTATATATCGCTCTTAATGATCTTGTAGACTTCTTCGAGGCTCTCGGCAGCGTAGACAACGACGCTTCCTATGAAAAGCGCAGGCTCACCCTCGACAGGGTGTTTTTCGAAGATCGCACCTAGGCATGAACACGTCGGCAACGAAGAATGAAAAAGAAATAGTGAAACTTTTACCGCCTGCTGGTAGTGTTCCCGAAGTAATCATGGGCTTAATGCCTTCGTAATGGTCTCTGCGAAGGAAGTCAGCCCCGTCATGAAGCCCCAGTCGAACGCGACGCTAGTGATGCGAGATGGTCACGTGCCCTTTAACCTTCTTCCTGATTTCCAACACATTGGGATTGTCAGGAAGAATAGCAAGCCACTCTTTCTTTTGAGCGGTCGTTGCTATTCCGCGCCGGCCATATCTTGCCAATGTGCCAAGAGGGCGAGCCCGTCGAACCAGCACGGACCGAATAGACGATTGAAGGAAGAGGGCTGACATTTTAACAATTTCACAGTTGTTAACAATATAATGATCTGATAATGATCAATTGGTATTTGATACTGAAAACTTGAAGCATCTGGCATGAGAGTCGCCTTTTAGCTGGGAAACATCTCTGGTTGGTGTTAATATCAATGCTGAGTTCCGACCCAATCGGAATCGAGGTCCGAAGGCGGAGTGGAGGTGCGGCATACGATTCCGACTAGCAACATGATCTTGTACTTTACTAATATGGCTCGATAGCAATAGACAGTAATTTTGATCGTGCTCGCATTTCAAACGACAAAGTTACACGCGCGCAATGTCTCTGTTATATACTTCGATAATTCGATCCTCGGCTCCTCGCATAGCAGGAGGGATCTTGGCCAGCCGTAATGCTTTGCTGAGCAACGGCCCCAAGGTTCGAGAACAACGGTCAAGTCTTTCCAAGAAATGTTTCCGCATGTTCTCTCAGAATCCTGGGTGTAGGAGTAAAATGGAGACAGTCTTCTCACCGGACGCAGTCGCCCGTGAGTACACACAGATTTCTCCACCTGATACACAATTCACCAACAGCTTTTGTGTTAGCTATCGGTCCATATCATCAGGCAATCAAAGCAAATGGCCTCGTGTTTCTCTCAGGTCAAATTCCTGCGGATCCCAATGGAAAACTCATCGAGGGTACTGTTACTGAAAAAGCTCATGTAATGTGCCGGAATGCCCGCGCCGTGCTCGGAGCCGCTGGCTCCGGCCTGGACAAGGTGGTAAAGGTTATGGTAAGTTCAAAAATTTCCGCGGCGTCTAACAAACAACTGAAGAGCGCCCAGATCTTCTTCAAGGACTTCAGAGATTACAAGGCGGTAAATGATGTGTACGCCGAATACTTCCCACACGGTCCTGCCCGCTCCTCATGTGAGGCCACAAAGCTCCCGGCTGGTGCTTCTATCGAAATGGACATCATTGCTTTGCAGTAAAGTATGAAGAATGGACAGTAAGCATTAGTTGGCTCGAATATAGATCACCATTCAGATATTACAAAGGCTCTTGACGATGATATTTGATGAATGGATAGTGGTTAAGATGACCTCATGACCGAGGAAATGAAAAAAAGCCTTGATTCCCTAAGCCATCATTTCATATTACTCAGGCTGGGGCTGGAGATGTACGCAATCAAGAGTTGTTACCATGTGATAATCCAGAAGGATCTCGTACGGCGACATCATTGACATTATCAGTTTTTTATTGTGATGGGAACTGTAAAAAAAAACCTAACCCAAAACACGGCGGCGGAGCTCCCTCTTCAAAGCATCAACCATATACTTAGTGCGCTCTACAGCGCCTCGATTTTCAATTGCACGACGATGCAAGTATCCCAAACATTCTCCGACCGACCCACATGCCATGAATTTGAAGATACCAGGGGCCCCACCATCGCTCATAGACACATCAGCAGCGTATTGATCCCGATTTTCAAGCAGCGCGCAGCTCAGCTCGTCAGCCATGCCCATGATCTGACCAGACTCCAACTTTGTCATTGGTAGACCCTTAGTGGCTCTCGACCGGTGAATTCTGATGGCCTTTTCGGCACTGGCTCGATTATGTGTGGCAAGAAAGAGGGCGGCAGATGGAAACTCAAACTTAGCTGAGCTTTGAATCGGCCATGGCGTTCGTGAGATGAGAGTCTCGACAATCTCGTCATAGGAGCGATCTGTCTCTTCTTTGGTGTCATGGATGAGGGAGCGGATCTCATGTTCAATATACGCTCCTCGCACGAGTTTGACACCCACAGTCCAGCCCTCAGTGGCCGCAAGAGTGATGTGACGTGAAGCGTTATCTCTTGCTCCTTTGAGATATGCCTGGATTGTGTTGTAAACGAGAGGCTGTCCGTCACGGTTGAACTTCCTCATCAGTTCAATCACCCAATCATCGAGGCCGACTTGGAAGACTTGTTGCTCGGCATCGACCCAGAGCCGTGCACCTCGTTGCTTCGTTTCGATGCATATCTCTTCCATTGACCTTAAGACGACTTCGGGCATTGGTTGGCGTGCTCGCATAGCGTCGATGGCAATTGGGCCGGCACCGGTCATTCTAACGAACAGAAAGGATTAGACCACCACCGTCGTCGCAGTACTACGAAATTCTACAATGAACAAATGACTGGACGATATCAAAGCAAGTACGTGTAGCAAGAATAACTCACTTGAGGGACAGAAAGTCTCCAGGCTGTAGCATCTGCAAAGTATCGAGATTGAGTTGCTTCCATTCTTCCACCATTCGGCTCCCAGCAGGAATATATTTGGCGTTTTGAGACTTTGTGACTCCCGAGTCTAGATCAACGGTGAATTCTCTCGCATGGCCGAGGATGACGCCCTGATAGCCCATCGCCTTCAACTTAGCAATTGAATGACTAATTTCGGCGTGGGTGGTGCCAGCACAAAAGTGATTGTAGAGAGCCCATCTGATCAACCGGTTCAGTAGGGGGTTCCTGTCCAAGTCTAGTAATGGACTTTTAGACTTTGTTACGAGATTGAGAAACTTCAGTGATGGCTGCATGATCCACGCTCTCCTCATTATCGATGTCAACACTAGCGAGCGTAGGAGGGTCTTCGTAGTGATTCGGGAAAGAGACGTCTGTCCCAGTTGAACCGCATCTTGTGCTTTGGTTGCAATATCAGAAAGCCCCCGGTGTTTGAGACGAAGGATAATGGGCGAGAGGGTTACCCGAGCTGGACAACCAACGACAACTTTAGGAGGCATGGTAATGTGAGGCCGAGGTTTCAGGAATGGTTGTTTGTTTTGGTGGATCATTCGTGTGTAATCAAGCGCTATGTAAGTCACGAACTCTCCTCAAGAGCCAACTAATTCAGGCTTATAAACTCTGAAGCCGTCTGACTAGCGACTCCTCCAACACGAGCGGACTCAAGGATATCTCCGTTATCTTGACATTACCCTCGGTACCTCCCCTCATTTGCAGTCTGTGATAACGATTCGGACAATATTTCCGCTCAGCGAGGCCGGAATATTGGCTCAGAGACGTTTCGATAGGAGAAGGTGTCTAGATAGAGGCTACTGGGCAAGTCGGAATCAGTCTCGGAGCAAAATCCCGATAGGCTGCCCTCAGCTTGCCCCCATGGTCGATTAGGCGCAGGCTAAAAGCATAGGTTCTCGGCCTCCGCTATGGAAGTGCCATTACATTTGGTGACATTCGTCCTGAAAAGAAGCAGATTCGTGCTTGAATACTAAACGCAAGAATGTGGTCCCTTGGCGCGACACGTGGTAGCCGGAGCACCCTCGGTCAGAGGCTTCCGGCAGCTACCACTGGGCGGAGACAGTTGACTCTGCTACACCCTCCCAAGTTTGAAAATGAGAAATTCGTATGTTACCTTTCCCTGCAACCTCCTCTGGCTAATCGATTCTTTTTGACTAGCTTCAATATGCGAAGGGCTCTCCGGAAAGAGCTTCCTTGCAGGAGGCTTTGAGGAGGCTGAAAGATCAAATGCCAGTATATATCCCAATCACGGTGAATGGGACGGCGGTGTGTATTGCACTCTCGGGACACGTCCAAGTCCCGGCTGACTAGTGTGACACAGATGAACTCCAGCAATTTTGGAACACAATTGAACCCATCAAACCATAGAGAACCCGTGGCCCAATACGCCTGTGCCACGCCAGAACAAGTCAACGGAGCCATCGATGCTGCTTTGAAGGCAAAACCTGCCTGGGAAGCTCTTCCTTTCGAAGACCGCGCCGCAATTTTCTTGAGAGCCTCGGAGCTTATTGCGGGGAAGTACAGGTCCGACATCGTTGCGTCAACCATGCTCGGACAGGGCAAGAACATATGGCAAGCGGAGATCGAGGCACCGAGCGAAACGGTCGACTTCTTCCGCTACTACGTCCAGGAAGCTTGGAAGCTCTATTCCTATCAGCCGACAGAGCAGCCCAACGGCAACTGGAACAAAATGGAGTACCGTCCTTTGGAGGGCTTTGTCTACTCTATCGCTCCCTTCAACTTCACGGCCCTGGGAGCGACACTCACTAGTCCGGCTGCCTTGCTTGGCAATGTCGTCATTTGGAAGCCCTCCGCCTATGCCACGCATTCAGCCTATCTCATACATCAAATCCTCTTGGAAGCGGGTCTTCCCAAAGACGTCATTCAGTTTCTCCCTGGAGACGCGGAAGAAATCACGAACACGGTTCTGAAGCGTCCAGAGTTCGCCGCAATCAGCTTCATCGGTTCTACTCAAGTGTTTAAAGGAATCCAACAGAAAATCGGTAATGGCGTCGGCAAAGGGATCTACAACTCCTACCCTCGAGTTGTCGGTGAAACCGGCGGTAAGAATTGGGGCGTAGTACACTCTTCGGCCGACGTCAAGAGCGCCGCGTTCCAAATCATCCGTGGCTCTTTCGAGTATCAGGGCCAAAAGTGCTCCGCATGTTCTCGGGTATACGTTGCCGAGTCCGTGTGGCCAGAGTTCAGGAAACATCTCCAGGAAGAACTCCCTAAACTCAAAGTTGGCGACGTGGAACAATTTGACAACTTCATCACCCCAGTCATCCATGAAGCTTCCTTCGACAAGCTGAACAAGATCATTGAAGATGCCAAGACCGACCCCGAGCTACAGCTCATTGCAGGAGGCAAGGCCTCCAAGGAGCATGGGTACTTTATCTATCCCACAGTCTACAAGGTCTCCAATCCTCGGCATAATATCATGTCACGTGAGCTTTTTGGTCCTATACTCGGTGTTTATGTCTATCCTGACACCGAGTGGGAGAAGACCTTGGAATTGGTTGACACGACATCACGCTATGGTCTGACGGGTAGCATCTTCTCCATGGACCCTTACGCATCCCAGCAAGCAAAGACGAGGCTCAAGCATGCGGCTGGCATGTTGTATATCAACACAAAGTGCACCGGATCTGTGGTTGCCCAGCAGCCGTTTGGCGGTAGCCGAGATTCTGGTACTAATGACAAGACCGGCACCGTTGCTCATTTGCAGCGATTTACCAGTGTTCGGTCAATCAAGGAGGAGTATAACCCTCTCTACAAGATAGAATATCCTTCCAATGAAATGTAGATAGTCTCATGTCATGTTTAAGCAATCCAATTTTTATCCCTATGCCTTGACTGCACTCTTGTCCGAGCCGAATATCTTAGCTGTGAGCCCATATATAGAGTGCTGTATACGCTGAGAAGATCTGTACACTTGACCAATCTTTCCCCTAATGATCTATGCAAGTTTGATGTGGGAATAATGCAATGTTGACAATCCTCTCTAGTTGCGTATTGTGCGTCTGTCTCCGATTGCCGGATTGGTCTTGAAGATTGGCAGCGCATATAGACGAAGGAACATTAGTGAAGGATAACCTCATTCTCTGTCTTGACCGGACTGTGGGTTACGCCTGCTCTTGGCGGGTTGGGATTATCCTGCATTCAGGACTCGGGATGCGCTTCCGAGGCACCCGGTAGGGCCGTCAGATCCGTTCTGGACCAAATCCAGATAACTTATCTATTTCGCGGTTCTAAAAGTACATGTACAGACAATCAGGCTTATCCCAGGGCCATGTCAAAAGCCCCCCTCAAGTCCTCCAATCCAGTTAAACAATTGTAACTTCTCTTCATTTCGTCATTGACGCCATCAGTTCAACGACTGTATGACAATGGAACGCCCTGGCAAAACAATTGCCTTCATAGGTTGCGGTAAGTTGAAGTCCAAGCCACGAAGTTCACAGGCTAAAGCGAACGATTGAAAAGGAAACATGGGTAGTGTCTTACTACAAGGCCTCCTAGACGCCATCAGCAAACTTCCCAAACAATCAGAGACTTCCACAGCCGACAGATTTATAACATGTACCAGTAATCCTGGATCTGCCGCCCTCCTCGAAAAGAACATTGAGAAGCACGATTCTCGGGTCGATTTTCATTTCCGGAAAATCCAAGAAACGATGCAAGAAGCCAATGTCATAATATTAGGTTTCAAACCGGGAATGGCCAGAAGTATTCTTGGACAACCTGGTGTTCGGCAAAGTGTCTCCGGAAAGCTAGTCATCAGTCTTCTTGCCGGTGTCTCTACAGATACCGTGCAAGACTACATCTCCGAGTCGGATAAAGAGCTAAACTTGCCTGCGGTTTGGGTTGCGAAAGCGATTCCGAACTTGGCCGCACGGTATCAGCAATCCATGACGGTTCTGGAAAAGCCGCCTCCCGAATTTCCGTCACATTATATCGACTACTTAGAGTGGATTTTTGGAATGGTTGGAAAAGTCAAGTTTTTGGATTCTTCTCTAGTTGACGTGGGCTCAGTTCTGGTCACCACGTGTATAGCCACTCTCACAGTCCCTCTTGATGGTATACTGGACGGTTCGGTGATCGAGGGCTTTCGGAGACAGGATGCTCTAGCCCTGGTGCGCCAGAGTGTTATGGGGCTTGGCGTCCTGCTTTCCAACGGCAGTCATCCAGCTGTGCTGAGAGAACAAGTCTCGTCCCCCAAGGGATGCACCATCCAGACTGTGGTAGCAGTAGAGAGACAAGGGGTTCGAGCTGCATTCACTGATGCACTCCTGCAAGGAACACATCATCTGAGTACTATTTCGCAGAAATAGCGTATCTGAAACGAGGAAAGTCATTATTCACCGAGTTTGTCTTCTCAGTTTCCAGGGCCTCCATGATGTCGCTAATGATCATGTTCAGGTGATTGTCCATGGGGCATCATTCTGTACACCAATTGATGAGGCTGCTTTGCACTGCATACGCACAATGTAGAGACACTATCGGTATACTAGGAGAATATAAATACACTACTGTAACTTCTCGGTCTTTGAAGCTTGCAAATCAGTTAGAAATTTACTCTTTGGCTGCTCATCCTGCCATCTTGTACGAGGTAGCTCAAAAGTAGACAGAATCCGGCCATACGACATGCCCCCAAGCTGACCAACCGGTCTTAGCTTGTCCAGTTCGATGTGGCTACAGTCCTCGTTCGCTGCGTCCTCCCTCACCCAGAAGCGGGTTGCCTTGAGAAGACAGATAGCAGCATCGCTCATTCCCGGGCTATGACTCTCGAACTCCTTGATGTCAACGAGCTTTGCCTCGATGGAGAACACCGACTCCTTCACGCGTGATGGCTTGACGGTGTTGGTGGGCGCTTCCGTAAGCCCGGTGATGTCCCACTCGGATATTCCATACGGTGCGTCGATTGACGAGGCGCTGACGGCTTCTATCATGTTCTCCGACACCGTGTTGATGACGCACTCACCCGTCTCTTTGATGTTCTTGTACGTGTCCTTCATCAAGCCAAAACGCGACGAGAAACTGAGCATGAAAGTCGGCGGATCCTGATCGACGACTTGGAAATAGCTGAAGGGAGCAAGGTTCTTTGTTTTGCCATCCGCGGAAAGCGTGCTGACAAAACCGATAGGGCGCGGCGCGATGCCGGAGATGAGTAGGCGATAGTTTTGCGATACGCCTCGATCCGGGCTGTAAGGGTCAATCTCCCGATGCGCAGCCTCTTCAGCCTCGGGTGTTTTGTCGACTCGGACACCATCCCCGAATGTCCAGATGGGATTAGGGGACTTAGTCACTTCAATCGGTGCTCGGGAGTGGTCAAAGTCCGGCCGATCTCGAATCGTTTCTTCAAAGTTCGTTACTTGTTGCACGGCAGAGAACGCCGGTTTAGCTGCGGCACCGGCAGCGGTAGAACTCGCCCGAATCACAAGATTCGACATATTGAGTGCCCAAGGACGTGGCAGTTGCGCCAATCCGCGGGGTCTGCATTCGGTGTCAGAGAAAGTCATTTCACCTTGTCTTTTCTGAAAGATGTTTCTCTCATTAGTGTTGAGTATACCTACCTTTGGGAAAAGACGAAACGACACAGCTGAAAAGTGTAAGGCATAATACGTCTTATGACAGCGCAAGTTCTCCTAAAATGAACCTTCACACAGCACCGATCTCGTTTACACTGAGTTCTATCCGCGCAAAGTTGAACTCTTTAATTAGCATTAAATAAGAGTATGCATGGAGCCGGTGCAATTAGGAGCTGCAGGCGGCGATATCCGGCCGGCCCGGGTTTAAAAACGCTCGGAGAACATTTCCGATTGGTTGTTTTTGTCAAAGTCCCGGACGTTATGGGTCGGAATCACACACTGGTTCATATCAACTTGATGATAATTACTATCTAGCCGAAAGAAGGAACTTAGTACTTAGTTCTTAGTTACATCCTAGGTATTTGTATCAATTATGAGCTAAAGGATAAGGCTCAAGAAGAAAGATTTAAAATTAAATATCTCAGATACCTATTAACTTAACTAATTATCACGGCTAGCTAGTTATAATAAGATATATTAATAAGAATTAAAACTATTAATCTCGTTGCAGTGCGCAACCGAAACCTCTTATATTATAATCCACCACCTTCTATTATTGGTCTCAAATCAACTACCATTATTTGATTTAAACGTGCGAGTGGTGTAGAGATGTTAATTCTTGGTTTATCTCGTCGCTTTTGTTGTCTCCGCTCTGTAAGCCAGCAATACGTAACTGTCGTTCAAATACAGAGCGCATGGCTCTTGTCCTATTCTCGTAGCAATCGAGCGCATAGGTCCCACGGTTTCTGTGGCAGGCGATCTTTCGCAACATTGAGATTGATGCAGCTATGATAGTAGCAGCAATTTCAGCACTCTCCCAAATAAAGAGTCCACCTATTTGACCTAGGATATAAATTTGTTAGATACCGACAAAAGCGCACCCGCCCATAGAAATCGACAAAGAATCGCGAAAGAATCACATCTTTAGTGAGCCTCACCGTTATCGTGCGAGTTGAATTGCAAAAGATAATAAATCTTCGGAATTCCAGTGGCCCCGGCACTACAAGTATGTAAGTCAGGTAGTGTTCGGGACCTAAGGCAGTAGCTAAACTCACAAGATGCCTGTGCTCATCGCGATACAAATACCCAATCTATCTTTTGTGATCAGGTGAAGAGGCCAAATGAGCTTCCATGGCAAAATGACAAGAAGAAATCCATTAAAGCGGAATATGCTGTGGTGAAGGATCAACAAAATGTATCTCCGACATTTTTCACCTATGGAACAGTACAAGGGGAGCCCCCAAGAGGGGAAGGGGGGGGGGGGGGGGAAGGGGGACTCTCCTTACCAGCAACGAAGACGGCAAATTTCTGCGTTTGGTTGGTTGTCAAACAAGGTAGATGCGAGTACGGACGGCATGCATTCTGGAACAATGGTGTCCAGACCGTAATGAGAACATTCATGGAGGCAATTAAAAACCATAATATCCACCGAAGTTGTCCAGTGGCAAGCCGCAGTAGGGTGAAAGCGAATGCGATTTTACTCAATGACCATGCTATGTTCGATATGATACCAGCACCTTTCGCGAGGTCGATGAGCCTTTGCACCGCAAGAACCCTACTGTACACTGATGAAGCATTGAGAACCGCGATCCGCATAAATAGTTGGGGATAGCGAAGAGGGCCTGTCTCACGTTTTAGCAAATTAGTCGTTCAATGGTGGTGTAAATTTACCCATGCAGCGATGATACAACCATCATCTATTTGCAACTGCCAACTTAAACACGGCATAAGGCGAGTATAAATACGCAAAACGAGGACACATGTCGCGAGAATAAAAATTGCTGACAAAGACACTATCTGTCCTACGATAATAGCCGATAATGGGTGATTTTGTGCCATGATGAGACGTGCAATTGTATAGTAGGAAAGGGCGGTCGTGTGGTAACTAGGAGTCAAGAAACAGAGCTACGGCATACAACACCGTATAATAAATTGATCTACAAAAGACTTGAGGACAGAAGAATGGTACCAACAGATATATGAAAGTTTACGTCGGTCGGACGGGACTTTATCTAGGTCTGCTCCGACTTGAAGTCCTTCTTGAGGAGACTTCGGGTGTGATTAAGTATTGCGTGCACCCGATAGAATACCTTGACAGGGTTCATGGCGCGTTTGCCCTCGTCAGATATCACTCTAAGAGATCAAAACATGGTTGCGATTATATCGTATCATTGCCACTTCCGGGATCGTTTCAAGAGGCAGAATATGCAGTAAATTCTGTACATAATCAGATCGCCATCTTGTCATTAACAGAAGGGGGCTTACCCCCACCTTAGACCATGATTGTGTCTCCATTCTCTTGAACTAATCAGCTTTGAACGTCTAGAAGACCTCCGTCTTAAACAGGATGAGAACTCACGACCATTCGCGCTTCGAGCATACTGCATATTACTTGCTTCTTTGGTAGAGGTCAAGCACGCGTACCGTAAGAACTCACAAAACGCGAACCTGCGCTAGCCCGTGCTCCCGTTGTTTTATCTGGTTTTTGGCCAATTGCTGTCTCTCTCTAGGATCTAGATCTCAAAAAGCGGCGGAGATCATAGAGTTTAATTACCGAGAATAGTCAAGCACGTCGAGTATACGGGCTAACGCAAGGTCTAGTCGTGTGAGCTTTTATAGCATCTATCAGGCTGTCCATTTCCTCCCTAGTATGACATGCGTTCTCGATTGAGAGTTCGGCCCGGTCGATTTATATCATACAACGCATGGAGTTTATGGACTTGTTCCTTAGCCATTGACTGGCCGTTCACTTCGTCGTCATCGTGGGGCCAGTCGACAAAGGCGGTCTAGTTTCCGACTGTTTAGTCTTCAAATGACTACCAGACAACTGTTATCATCGAGACAATCCTCGCACACCTTGTCGAGAATTAAGGTTAAGATCTCGGTTAGGTTGCTAACTAGGCCAACCAAGCCTCCGTCCAAGATAGTAGTCTAGGCCGACATTCAAGGGGGCTAGTAATATATAAGTAAGGTAAATAACACACTTTAATACTTATTTTACTATTTCCTCTCCTAGAAATAAACAGTAATTATAAAAGCAATTATACTAAGTACTAAAGAAAGGTATATAGCTATCCTACTTAGATCCTAGTTTAAAAGAATAATATTATCTCTAGTTTAAAACTATTCCAGCTCTTTAATAAGATCCGTTTATCCTCTATTTTATACTAGCTCAAGCAGTATTTTCCCCTCTCTATCTCATAATTCTAAGAGACCCGCATCTTTTAGGGCCAGCTTTAAAATAGTTTTTAATACTAAGAGCTATTTTATTTTACGCTACTTACTCTTTATAACAAAATATAGCGCAGTAGACTTAAGGCTATATTTTATAATCTTATTTCTCTTAGCGCTATAAAGAGTAAATAACTCCTATTATATAAGCAGCTTTAAATACTTACTAAGTAATAGTTAAAATCCGTACCTAAATAAAAAGTAAAATAATATAAATAGGGGGTAAGTATTAATTAAGATATAAGGGGGTAAGTAATAAATAAGAGAACTTACTTAATCTTAAAATAAAGCGTCTATTTAGAGCTCTAAAAAATAATATTAATAAACAATATAAAATATAATAAGTTTAGAGATCGATAGAGTATAAATCGATTTATAAGTAATTTAATTACTAAGGCTTTAGTTTTTAAGTATTATTTAAATATTTTTAATTTATTTAGTTAAAAGTAGCCCGTATACTTAAAAGAGTATTACTTATAAGAAGTTAATAAAATACTATTTATACGTTACTAAAGTTATTTAGTTACGTAGGATATATTTATAAAACGAGAAGTGTTTTTTAATATATTTACTATTAGAGTTTAATTATATAAATATAGCTATTACGATACTATTTAGGATAGATTTATTTATAGTTACTAAGCCGTTTTATTTACTTATTTATATAGTTTATTAATTTATAGTTATTATTAATAAGACAATTAAATATTTAAAAACGTGTTATATATTTATTATACCCTAAGAGAGACGTAATATTTTTTATAAGATTAGGTAAGAAATTATAGTTTATAAAACTTAGTTTAACGTCGTAAGTCTAGAGTATTTTAGCCTATATATAGTAATAATTTTATATATCGTAGCGCCCTAGAAGGATAGTATACGATACGATATATACTCGTATATTTATTTTTAGTTTTAGACTATATAATAGTACTATTATAATTAATATAAATAGGTTAATAAATAAAAAAAAGGGGGGGACGTAAATAAGAAAAGCTAATAGCCCTAGTAGTTACTATAGATAACGGGTATTTAATATTAACGTTTTTTTTAAAATAGAGCTAGTAATAAGTAGTTCGAAGTAGCCTAGGCATAAATAATTAATAAGGGTCCGTAAGCTATTTTAAATAAAAGCTTAGTATAATAAGTAACAGACCGCGTTTAAGATTTTTAAAAAATATAAATAGAACGCGTAAAAATAAGTTATAACGAGCTAATCCGTATTATTAATAAAAAGCTAGAGCTTAGTTTATAATTAGCCTACGTAAAATAGGTAATATATTTATAAAAGCTTAGTATTAACGTACTTTTTAATATAATAGTTCTTATTTATAAAAACGAGGTTATACTCTAGGTAATATAAGTAATAATTAATAGCGTACTAAACTAAGCTCGAGCGACGTTTATACTTAGTACTATTAGGCTAGCCGTATTTTTTAAAGTATAGTATATAAAAGCGTATATTAAACTTAAAAAGTTATTTAATAACTATATAAAAAATAATACGTAAATAAGATATAAGGGTATATAATAATATTTATTATATATATAGTTCTATATATAAGAAATAAATAATAATAAGCGGCCGTTATATAAACTAATACTATTATAAAAAAAAGCGTAAGACTCGTTTAAAAATATAATAAAAGTAGTTAGTAAGGGGGCGGGGGACTAAGCTCTAGAGATATAAGAACGTATAGTATTCGATATACTTATTAATATATTAAATTACTAACTAAAGGGCGGAGAGTATAGTAGCGCTCTTATATAATAAGTGCCTTCGGCGCCCGCCCCGCTTTTTAGCACCCGCCCCGCTTTTTTTTAAAGTACGTACGCGGGTACGTAAGTATATAGGCTTAATATTAAAAAAAAAGTAGTACGTATATAAGCGTAAGTATAAATAAGTATACGCGCAGTTTATTATTTTTATAATTATAAGGCGCGGGCTACCCCTTACCCCCCCGGTTAATTAATAGCTTATAACTATAAAAACCGAGGACCCTCGACCTCCTCCCTCCTTTTTAATAGTATATAGTAGCGGCCTAAATAGCTAACTTATAATTATAATAGACCTTTAAAAAAGCTCGTTAGTATTAATAAGGTATATAACGGCTTATAGTTATAAAAACTTAGGCTCTTAAGACTACCGGGGCCCTATTATTATTATTATTATTACTATACTTTATATATTATAGCTATAATTAACTAGCTAAGTTATAATTATTATTTTTTTTATTACGGCTATAAAGACCTAGACTCTTAAGACTACCGGGGCCTTATTATTACTATTATTATTACTATAGCCTATACGTTATAACTATAGTTAGCTAGCTAAGTTATAACTACTACTTTTCTTATTACGGCCGTAAAAACCTAGGCTCTCGAGACTACCGGGGCCCTATTACTACTATCGTTACTACTATAGCCTATATATTATAACTATAGTTAACTAGCTAAGCTATAACTACTACTTTTCTTATTACGGCTATAAAGACCTAGGCTCTTAAGACTACTGAGGCCCTATTACTACTATTACTACCTAAGCTATTTAAGCTATAACTACTACTTTTTTTATTATAGCTATAAAGACCTAGACTACGCAATAAGTAAGCGAGTTATTAATAATAACGACGTAAACTTAAAAATACCCTTACTCTATACTTTCTTATTAATAATATTATATAATATAAATAAAGTATATATTCTTATTCGTTCTTCTATTTATAAGTACTTAAAAAAAGTCTATTTCGGTTTTTATTTATTAATACTAAGCCGCTATTTATATTTACTATTTATATTTACTATTTATTTAGTAGTACTTATTTACCTAACTTTAAGTATTACTTAGTTTACCGTAGTAATAAGTAATTCTATCCTCTATTTATTATTACCTTATATTTATTATTACGATTTAGTTATAATAAATTTAGCCCTATACCCCCTCGTTTTTATCCTTAAAAGCGGCCTCGCTATCTTTTTTAATTACGTTTTTTATTTTAATATCGCTCTCTATTTCTATATTACTATTACTTTTTAACTTATTTAATAAGTTAGGAAATAAGAAGCTTATATAGTACTAAGAGATTTTTTAAGGCTTACGTATTATAACTAACTATTCTTACTCCTTAAACTTCGCTTATATAATAGGGAGGTTTACCTCTACGTCGCTATTAAAGTTTAGAACCTCTGTGGTTAAGGGCCGCCTCCGACCATTATGGCCGACCATTACGGCCAACCATTACGGCCAACCTCTACTATTAACCTTTCCGGCCAGCGCCGCCGCAGGGCAGCTTACCTATCCCGAATTATATAGCAGTTTTCGTATCGAAATTACTATATTGCGTTGAGCGCGTACTTAGGGCACATTATGCATATTATATAGTTAAAAAGTATACCGTATCGTATAATTTCCCTTAAAAGCGTAATCCTATTAAGGTCGATCTTTTGCGCCTATAAAGCCGGAAAAAAACTACTATATAATAGGGAGGTTCTTATTTTACTTAGCCTAAGCTCTAAGCTTTTTAATAATAAGTAGTTTTTTATAAAATAGGACGTATTTCTAGTTTTATAATAAAAGTTAAAAAACGTTAATATACGAGCGGATATAC